ATATATATATATATATATATAGCAAATTAGCTATACTTTTTACCTAGTAGATTATGCATGGGTAATGCTACGTGTACATAATTTTTTTGCTTAATCTTTTACCTACACTTACAATAGGGTGTGGAAATCACTTTTTTGAGAGTTTTTTATTCATGCGGATTCTGCGTACATGTGAGAAGGTGTAACATTTTCGGTAAGGACAATTCGGTACAAATAGTTTTATTCATTATGCATTCACCTTGTTCAAAGCAACGCACCTTTGGGTGGTCCAATTTGAAAATTTAACAGTTATGAAGCAATTGATTATTTCATCCCAATTCATTTGTCTCCCATCATTCCAAAATGTTGTTTGTTACAGTAATATTCTCTACAACACATTCACTCAATAAAATATTTTACACACAAAATAATAAAGTTACTTTAAATTTCAACTACACATTCTTTAAAAAATACTATTCATTACTCAATTTCTTCTACAATAATGGGAGAAAATCACACACTTAATTTGATTAGCCCCATTTAGTAGGGATTAAATTAGATTTTTAGTAGATTTTAATAAAAGTTGATGAAATGTGTGGTTGAAAATTTGTGGGTTGATAAAATGCGTGGTTAAAATTAGTTGTCGACTTTGAATTAAATTAAAATTTGGATTTTATTTTCTACCAAACGGACAAATTTTCAAGATTCTTTGTTACGTCTTGATGTTTGCAGTAAAATGAAATGACATGCTTTATTTTTTGTCTAGATTTTGATCAGCGTATTCTATTGTCCATAAATTAGAAGGCCATGTCTTTCCTTTTGGAACTTAACTTTGGTGTAGGTCAAAAGTTCGTAAAAATTTAAGTCAAAGTTAATAATTAATTTTAATTACATATTTCACTGGACAACGACTTTTGTTTCACGTATTTTATCAATTTTTATCAAAATTTACTAAAAATTTGATTTTAATTTACACCAAACAAGAGCTTAATTTATTTCCTAAAATGATTATTGCCAAGGCCTTTGTTAAGATGTGAAGGCAGAACTTCTTTGGTACAAATTTATGGTTTTCTCCAACTCTCCTTTCACCTCACATTTTGAAAGAATAAAGTTTTGTTTCAGGGTGGGTCATTCAATACTCATAGGAAAAACTGAAAACACGTTTACTTATCTATTTTCAGAAACGAATTTCCAAAAACGAGTTTAAATTTTACAAAGAAGATGGAAAACGCAAAAAGAGTCGTTTTGACTGTTTTCAGTTAAAACCGAGCCAAAATTTTATTTTTTATGTCAGGGATTAGAAAAAGAATATGCTTGGTCTCGTTGATTTTCAAGGTTGAGTCCCCTTAATTTTGAGCTCAAAGTTTGAACAAAATAAAACCATTTCCAAAATAAAGTTGACGGGAATGATAGAAATATTTGGCAGATTTCAAGTTTTTCAAATAAGATTTTTATTGCCTTAGGCTACCCAAATATGAAAATAATGATCATTGACAAAATGCATGCGAAGGAGATGTTATTTTTTATAGTTCCAAATATTAGGGCATGTTTGATTCACCCAAATTTTCTAGGGAAAATGGAAAACAAATTTCAACTTTCGCTTTTGTCTTGTTTGATATACTATATTTTTCAAGCAATTGATTTTCTTGGTTTTGTCTCTCACGTCTAGGTTACCTTTTTTTTAATTTTTTTTTTTTGTAATGGAAACAAATTCTATTCACAATTATGAATTTTTTTTTTTCTCTTTGATGGACAATTTTCATGAAAAACAAAACCAAATGAATATCAAAAGATCCAAAATTTCAACATTTTTCAGATGGAAAATTATATCAATTAAACACAATTAATTGACAATTTCTAAGAAAATAATTCTAGGTAATTCAATTCCCTCGAATTCATTTTTTTTCATCTCAAATTCCATTCTTACAATCAAACGGCCCCTTAGAGTAAGTTGGTAGTAACTTCAACAAACAAATACAAAGAATTTTGTGTTTATGCAATGGGAAAGAAATTTTAATAATTAGCAAAGTTAGGCATAGTCGTGTTTATTAAATCATGCTAGCAATTCGAAACACACCTTTTAAAATCTCTAACGCCACAATTTTGAATTGTCAGATAGTTCAAGTGAAATCACCAATTTTCAAAAAAATAAAAAAATAAAAAAAACCGTTATATTTCTTTTAGAAATTTGAAAGTATACACGTATCAGACGTTTTTGAAGTCGGGCTCAATATTTGCGTCAAACATGACATATTTCACGTAACTATGGATCATTTTAGGATGGAAAGATTGGACGGCTATGGATACATACATGTCTATTGTTAGATTGGATGCTAAGAGCTCGTTTGGTAAAGATTAAAATCTAATTAAAATTGAAAAACTACCCGTTATTCAACAATAACGATTAATGATCCAATTTTAATCTCTGTCGAACACGCGCTCCGGAAAAATTCATTATGAACAGCACAATACAGACAAATGAGAGGTAAGCTATTTTCAACCGATGAAGACAAATAAAGGAAGCAGAGTCGATAAGCTAAGCTAGATGCATTTGTCGACTTGCATTGTAATCGTATCAATCGCCCACATCTTCCGATATAATGCAAAATTGCATCATTTGGTAACCACCGTTTTTCTATTTTTTTCATTCACCACAAATATATTTTAATTTTCTTCTTCCAATATGAATCTTCAAACCCCCTTTACCCGCAGATTTTGCAGATTCTGAAACTGTGACTTTTTCTTTTTTTATGGCAAAATTAAACCTTGAATAAGTCAGTATTTCTCGCATGTTTAGTCAGGTAATTTTTTTAGTTTTGTTTTGTTTTACCTATTTGTGGATTTACCCCTTGCATTTACATGCGATTTTTTTTTTTTTTAACTCGTTCATGCAGGTGGGTCTTTTTTCCTATGGTTTCTGGGCCGATGCTTAAAGTACTGAATTTGAGCTGAGGTTAGAATTTGGGGGGCTGATTTCAAGATTTTTTGGGATCTAGACCAGTTCGTGCTAGTTTATTTTGAAGTCAAGCTGTATGTTTTCTTTTGGGTTTTTTAAACAAAAATTGGTAATATGGGGTCCTTGAAAAATCTATTCTAAGTGAAAATTTATGCTTCTCCTGTGTAATTATGAGTAAATTGAAGTGGGTTTTGGTTATAAATATGATATGATATGGGCTTTTTTTTTTTTTATTATCATGAATGCAGATTCACCTGACTATTTGTTGTTACTTTAATTGGATTTGTTAACTTCAGGTCCTCCTCCTCCTCCTCCTTCTCCTTCTCCTTCTCCTTCTTCTTCATCTGAAATTCTAATGCTGTCATGTTTCGGTATGAATGATTCGCTACTTTAGTTTGTGTTTTCGCTTGTTTCATATTTGCATACTTGAACAACTGACATTTGTTGCAGAGTAAACCACCACCTATAATTCTCCCTAACGTAAATAAAGCAGCAAGAAACCACAGGTAAAAAGTTTGTAAAGTGAATGAGTCGAAGTGGACTGTCCACTCTAGAACTTCTGCCAAAATCATAAGAGTAGAGCACTACCAAGTGAGCTATATCTTCTCAAGTCAAGTGGAGCATGCATGAAGTAGTAAAACCCGTCTATCACGTATACAATAGGCAACCAGAGGATAGAAGCATTACTTCTAGAAATTATAAAATGAAAACGTGTTAATAATAAAATTATCATTTCCTTCTCCAAATAAGATTCAATTCTACAACCAGTCAGTTAATAGCTGACTGCTCCACTTCTAAGCTATTAAAGATTTGATCTCATCTCAGTTTTTGCATTCTAGCTTCCTCAATGTGGATTCACCTTTCCCTAAGTTGATCCACTGATACGAGAGCTCAAGCCACTTTTCTTTTTTGCATTCATTCAATTCAAATATCAGATTATTGATTGCACCAATTCATCTATTATCTGCTGGATGAGCAGCAATGAAGTTGATAATAAATACAGAAGCTCTGGTTAATCGGTTAGGAAACATTGAAACATCAAACACCTCCACCAAAATGAGTATGCCTGTTTACCTAACTCCCTGGAGTTGAAGCTTTATTCTACAATACAATATATTGTTGCATGACTTTCTTATGTCCTGTTAACGTAGAATACAAAGGAACCAAGAACGAAATTGAGAAAGAAAGAGAAGAATAAGAGAAGAGAGAGAAGAAAGGGGAGAGAGTATAGAAGAAATTGGGGGAGAGAGTATTAATTTATTTCATAATCAAAGTCTAACTATTACAATGTATAGGCCCCTTTATATAGGGCAAAGAAGCTAAAATAAATAAATAAAATCAGAATCTAATCAACTTATTAAATCTAATCTAATATATCCCCAGTTTGAGAACCATTCTTTCAAAACCTCATTTTTCTCCAAAATTTATTTTTAACCACACATTATCTATAAAATAATTTACACGTAAATTCAAAATTTTTCTTACTTTTTAACTACACAATCTCCAAAAAATCACTATTACAAAACCAATTTTTTCAACAAAATGGGGCTCAAATAAAGGCATAACCTAACTAACATAATTTGAATCAAACTACTTTAAAATCCTAACTACATCTATCTTTATACTTATCTTCATTTCCCATCACCTATACAATCAGTTGTTTTCCTAAATTTTACTAAATGTTGGTGTCAAGCTAGTGATAGTTGATGAGAGTCCAATTCATTTGATGTGTTCTCTCAGTTCCAATAAAATGCATCCCAGTCAAGTATGAGCCGGAGATCAGAAAATTTTGCTGGTAAAACTTATAAGTTCTCAAACAACGTTTGGGCTTTAGATCCCGATACTACAAGCTGATAAGGTGGTTATTAATTCTCACGAGGGACTCTATATTTTTAATTAAAAATCCCAACCCTAAAAATCCAACAAGTCACAAACTACCATGATAAACTGAGACAAAAAGTTGTCAATGGTGTATTCCTTGCATGGAAGGACACTGTGATAGTTAAACAACAAATACATTTTAAGATTTTGGCCTAGAGATTGGGCAAGCTGTCATTTCCTTGCTGGTTTTTTTCTGACACAGCTTGTTATTTAGTCCTTCAGTTAGATTTGTAATATACAATTTATGATGATAACACTTGTTTGATTGATAAAGTTGGCTGATATTGAGTTTCAGAATTAAAGATACTTATTTATTCGTGTTGCTATTAGCAGGTGAAGACTATGATTCTCACGAAACAATACCGCTGCATCCACTCGGCCAGTTGTCTCTGCACAAAAGGGCATCTTAATGAAGAAGTCATTTTCCTAGTTTTTCATCACTTAAATTGGAACCCTATGTTGATTGCGACACTTTCTTGCGCATGCAAATGGTTTGATGATCTTGCTAAGCGAGTTCTGTGGAAGGAATTTTGTAGGACACGAGCTCCTAAGATGATGCTTGATTTGCAATCTAGTGGCAGTCACAGTATTGATGGGAACTGGAGGGCACTCGGGAAACTGCTAATACACTGTTCTGGATGTAGGAAGGGTGGCTTGTTCAATAACATTGACATTCCTGGCCACTTTGTCCATAGGACACGATTCTCAAGGACATCAGGGAAAAGCTTTCTATTACCACAATGCAGAACAGATGTTTTGTATGTGTCTGATCCTTGCGAACATCTTGATCAAGGGGATGAAGGGGATGTTGGATTCTTTCGTGGAATATTTAAATGCTTTGCAATGTCAAAGGTAAGGAAAGTACTGATTAACAGAGGCGCTCCACTTCATCCTACAGAGGTGTGTCCCTATTGCAGAGCAAAGTTGTGGAACATGCTACAAGCAAAGATGATACCGTCAAGTGCCAGCTGTCGGTTAGGTGCTTATGAAGACTGCATTGATTATTATGTCTGCCTTAATGGACATGTGCTTGGTACTTGCATCCTCTTGCCCTTGTCTGATACTGAAGCATCTGAGGAGTGACATTTTGGTGAAATTCAGGTACATTGTTTTTTAAGTCAGGTTCAATTTTGACGTTCCCAGCATGTTTGGTAAGTGTTACTGGATAGTATTGGAGGTGACTGCACTGTACTAAAAACAAGATCTCTCCTTTTTATTATTTAATATAGTCTAGTCTTATCCAACAGTGTACCAAACATGCATTTATGTTCTTATTTGACTTCCGAGTTTGTCTAGAGGCTGTTGGTTTAATGCTATTTCATTGATAGGCATGTAAAATTAGCACTTATGGTGGGATCACTAATCTGATGTCCTTTGGAGCATCTCCAAGGGACTATATACAAGATGCTTTTTATTTTATAGAGTCAATGCTTAAAAATATACTCTAAAAGACTCTCTTACGTTATAATGATTGCATTTAGTAAGTTACATATTTCAATACTTCACCCCTTAAATTATTCAAATCATATTTTAATTGATTGGTCATTAATATATTAAAAAATATGTATTAACTAAATGATGAGGAGAAATCATTTCTTGAAAAAAACAATCAGAAGAGCTAGAATACATGACATTGTTGGAATGTATAAAAAAAATTACTATCTACATTTAAATATGATTTCAATTGTACATAAGATGCTCTTTATAGACAGAGTCTTTTGAAAATGCTCTTAGACGTTCTTAATACTTATTGAGTTGCCATGATTGAACTCTTCAATTATCGAAAAATTCTTATGCAACTTGTCTGATAAATGACAACTTTATTACCAGTCGTGCAATATCAAGCATATCGATGCGCCTCTCTCATAGAAATTTGGTGGATGAGAAGTAGGTATGCCTCACATGGTGTTTAGCAGAACTCGTTGTCTTTGTAAGTTGAGTTCCAATGTACACAAATCTGCTGCTCTGTAATCTATTCCTTCCAACTGACATGTTGCCAGAGTGCTATTAATAACCAGTTTGTTTCTTTTATTGTTTCTTACAAGGTGGTTCTATGTACTATGTTGTCCATGCATACATTGTATGATCTCCAAATTGTATCAGAAATTTGAACAATGATCTGTAACATTGAACACAATTGGCAACTCAGTCACCTAACAGTTTCAACTTCTAGGAATTAATAGTTGCCGGCTGTCTTGACTTTCAGTCATCCTCGTGTATTTCCCTTCTCTTCTTGTTTGCTTCACGATAAGCATATATGGCTTTGCATTGTGTCTGGCCTATATACAGGGGCATGTAATCTCGTAGCATGGCGCAATTCTTTCACCACGTTTGAATTTTAATGTTTTCAGCCATTTGAATGGAAAATCCAAGCTTTTACTGGCTGTTCGAAATATAAATCCTAAACCTATTACTATTTTGAATTTGCATCAAGTTTAGATCCAAAGTCAAGTCCAACCCTGACTATTAGTCAGTCTTACAGATAGCATCTTCCAGCTGGGAAGTCACATTCACGACTCTCTTTCTTGTTGCACATGGTTTGCATGTTTGGTAAAGTGAATTGAACGGTATTTTATAAAGAAAAAGAAGTTGAAATTGTGTCCATTATATTGTGTTGTCATGCCTAATACTCTGTATAAAATTTGTTTGCAAGCAGGTTCTTGCTTCTTAGAAATATTACTTGCAATCAGTTTGTGTCTCATGTGATGGTCTGTATGATACATTCCAGTTGTTGCGATCAAGAAAAAGCAAAAAGAACACTGCAATCCTCTCTGAGGCTCCTGCCTTTTTTTCCCTATTGGCTGTAGAAATGCTTCTCCCTTTTTTCTCTTATCCTTGTTAGTTTCCAATTTGTTATGTCCAAGAAGGTTTCCTATATTGTTCTTCTGACCAATTTGCACGACCAATGGCAATGGAAAAGGTTTTCTGCCGAGTACGTAAAACATTATTTACTTCTAAGCACTAGCATATAGGCCATGTCCCACGAAAGAAGCGAAAGATATTGCCGGTCCAACAAAAAAAATAGATGACGAGTAGCTACTTCAGAGACTTGAACGATGAATCTCAGGCGCAGGCTAGCAACACGCTCTCTTCTTTGGAAGTTGGCAACCAGCAGCAACTCAAGAATACGCATCACTATTTTGGCCAGGTTATTAGTTTCTTTATACGCTCTCTTGCGATTCAGTTGACAAATCTGACCCACTGAAGAGTCTACTAGCAAAATCTATGATACTTCCATCTTCTGTTCCATAACTTCCTTGGTGCGGCAGTTATAGGTGGATTACTACTCCAAGATGTGGCAATACCTAATAAAATCATTAGAATAATTAACAAACTTGTTCCAAATTGGCTGGAGATGCTCAAAGCCAATCTCCAACCATTGTTTTGACTGGCCATTGTAGTGAATCACTTCTGCATTTTCACGTTTTCAGTATTTGGTTTTGCTCTGATAGCCCAATCCAAGCATGTGCAAGGAGGGGTCAATTGGGTGTACATGACCCTTAAATGCAATCAAAACAGGAGTTAAAGTGCCAAGCTTCCACAATATTAAATTTGGTGCCAAACTTCCATAATGTTAAATTTGAATTCAGAATCCCCACGACTGATTAAGAAAAAAGACGTTCCTGAAAAGATAATAAGCACTTCCATTCTCAGGTGTATCATTAAGAATAACGTGTAGAAACATATCCTCTCTCGTACAACATTAATAGAAATTAAGTCCATGTTTGGTACAAATTAAAATCTGATTTTAATTTCAAGTTAAAGTCAACAATTAATTTTAACCACACATTTCAAGGGATCCACAACTTTTCAACCACATATTCCATCAACTTTTATCAAAATCTACTATAAATCTGATTTTAATCTACAACAAACATGGGCTAACAAAAGTCTAGCACGAGTTGTGTTTGAATATTCACAAGAAGTTTAATTTGACTATCAGATTACAACAATTAGCTGCCACGATGAGTCCCAATTGTCGCTAAAATGACCAACTCAAACCACAAAAGACTGATCTAAGGTCATAATATAATCCAGTAGTACATAATAAGCCACCCATGCCTTGGTGTGGAAGCTCAACTCTGCTCAAACTAAGGACCAAGTCAGCATAGCATCTAACATAACGAAGTGTGATGCATACCAGCATAGCAGAATCCATAACTGGTCCCGCGAGATTGTGCAGTCACCCACTGGAACCAAAAACCAGCAAGTTGATGCAGCAAAACCAGAAATTTAGGCAAGTCCTTACAGCAGTACGAGTCCCTAGTAATCCAGAAATATCGGGTATCCCTCTCTCCAGGTAAACTGAATTCAATAAATAATTGCTGAAACTTTTATCATATTACCAACACAATATGCTAAGTTCACCGTCAAAGTCTAATTGACCACCGCATCTCTCCTTTTTCTGAGTGGCCGAGATCACTTACCAATACAGACATCTGTCCTGAATTAACAACCTTCACCCTAATGATTTGCATCCTATTTGTATGTGTATAGGTGATGTTTTCCTTTAGAGCTTCGGATCTACTCTACCCTTCAATCCTGTGCTTTCCTGTAATCTTATCAAAGAGACTTCACACATTCCTCACCTCAACTGCACTGTGAGCAGGTGCTTTTACTAATCCAATATTATCCATCATACGTCTAACATTTTCTGCATCTGTCCACCTTCCGAGTGCAGAATAAATGTTTCCCATTAATACATAATTTCCGGTGTTTTCTGGCTCTAACTGGAACAGCCACTTTGCAGCCACCTCTCCCAGTTCAACATTTTCATGAATCACACAAGCACCGAGTAATGCACCCCAAACAGAATGGTTTGGTTTAAAAGGCATACTTTTTATCAGTTCATAAGCTTCTTCAAGTCGATCAGCACGACCAAGAAGATCAACCATGCAAGTGTAGTGATCAGTTCGAAGGCTCTCCTGGTAATTTTTATGCATGAAATTAAATAAATTTAAGCCATCATCCACCAAGCCCACATGGCTGCACGCGTGCAAAACAGAAGTAAAGGTGACTTCATTAGGTTCGACTCCAGATTCAACCATCTGATTGAAAAGAGAGAGGGCAACCTCACCGTGTCCGTGTTTTCCATAACCAGCTATTATCACACTCCAAGAAACAATGTCCCTATTCTTCATGGAGATCCCATTGAAGAGTTTATGAGCTAATTCTAAGCTTCCGCACTTCGAGTATATATCAACCAAACCAGTGGCGATGTCAGTCTTGGAAATAAACCCTGCTCTTATCAGGTAACCATGTATATTCAACGTCTGCTGCAGGTCTGCTACCATGGCATACGCAGGAAGGAGACTTTTCCAGGTTGCATCATCGGGCTTAATTTCCTCCAACAGCATTTGTTTGAAAAGTTCTAAAGATTCTCTTGCAAGCTTGTTATGAACACACCCGGAGAGAACTGCATTCCATGGTACAGTTCTCTTTTTAGATGTCCTGGAGAAAACACTGAAACTAAGTTTAACACAATTACATTTTGCATAAAGGTCGATCAGTGCAGTTTCAACATTAACATCACATTCAAGTTTTTGCCTGATTGCCCAACCGTGCAAACATCTACCAAGCCTCAAATCAGGCAAATTCGTACACGCTGCAAGAAGTGAAGCCAATGTTACCTCATTTGGCCTCACACCTTCAATCTGCATCATTTGACACAGCTCGACTGCACTTGTCCAATCAGCATGCAATATGAACCCATTAATCATAGTAGTCCAAGTCACCACATCCCTCTCCACCATCCCATAAAAAACTCTACTTGCTTCATCCACTCTTCCGCATTTCACATACATGTCCATCAAAGCATTTTGAACTGCCAATCTTTTCCCTAAACCCTTCTCCTCCACCAATAAATGCACCTCTCTCCCCACTTCCAAGTTCTTCAAATAACCACAAGCTGGCAAAACCGAAAGAACCGTTGCACAATCAGCCTCCACTCCACTATACGCCATTTCCCTGAAAACCATTACAGCCTCTTTAGCACTATCATTCCGAAAATACCCACTGATCATCGTGTTCCAAGAAACCACCCCTTTCTCCTTCATTGCATCAAACACTCTTCTAGCCCCCTCTTTATCCCCACATTTCATATACATTGCCAACAAGCAATTCCCCACAAAAGTCCCCGACCCAAACCCACTTTTAACGGTCAACCCATGAACCAAAACACCCAAATCAAGCAACACCAAATCCCCACAAGCTCGAATAACAAATGGGTACGTATACTTATCCGGATAATGCCTACAAGACTCGAGAATTTCCACAAACAGTTTAAGCGCCCCATGAGGATACCCATTTTCAGTATACATTCTTATCATGGCCTTGTACGAAAGCAAGGTTCGATCAGACAATTCATCAAACAGTTTGCAGGCGTAATTCACCTGGCCGCATATTGCGTACGCCGATATCAGCAAAGAGAGAAAGTGGGTACGGTTGGATAGTAGGCCTAATGTTATAACATGGGCGTGGAGTTTCTTGGTGGTTGGCAGGGATTTGGCGGTGGTGCAGTGGTGTAAGATTGACTCACATTGTCCAGAAGTAGTTGGGAGAAGGCGTTTCAGAGTTTTGGACAGAGATTGCGACGGGCCATTCATGAATGAATTTCCAACGACTGCTTTGCTGGTTCTACTCTCTCGCCCTTGCAACCTTTGACCTACTTTAAGTCTTACCGAATGATCTAAATTTTAATTTGAGTAAAAATTAATAAATAATTTTATCATTTACAATTATATATAATTTTTATCAAACGGGGCTAAATAATGTTTTTTTAGCATAAGTACTTATTCATAGGAATGACAAAGGCATCGCCTCAACGGGGTGGGGATAATCCCCTTAATCGGGTATTTGAGATGGGGACGGGAAGGAGAATTTTGCCCCTGGACGAGTTCGGGGTGGGGACAGGTAACTAGTGTTCCGCCCTGGTTAATTTTTTTTCTAGAATTCAATACTTTAAATGGAAAATTTCACGAAATTTTATTAGTTCCAATATAAAATGACAACTAAAATTATTTATTTAAATCTAATGAATGTGGGCAATAAAAAAAACAAAAAACTTAAAAAAAAAAAAAATTAAACGGAGTAGTAAACGAGCTTCACCCTGCCTTGTCGTAAACGGGTAATGGGGCGAAGGAGGTTGCCCCAACCCATTGCCATCCTTAGCTTATTCACCCTTAACTTATTCATCTATAAATTTAACAATATCTAAGTTTGACATTTTTACGCCCTGATTGACCACATTCTTAAAAAAAATGCATTATTTCAATATTCATTTTCAACTACATAATTTTCAATAAAATAATATTACACGCAAATTCAATTTTTTTCTTTTATTAATCACGTATTTTCTATCACATTATTATCTAAAATACATTATTTCATTAAGAATGTACATCAAACAGGGGCTTAAATGAAATTATTTTTATTTAATTGAAAATACTTAAAAATTATATTTTGTAAAAAGTTTTATTGTCTATTTAAATCACCTTCAAATCAGGCGGGCCAAGCAATTAATATGATGTGGAAATTACATAATTTCAGGTGTTTGAAGATTAAAATTCAAAAATCAAGGACCAAGTTTTATTATTCAAAAATTGGGTATCTATAAATTAAACATTATACACCAAATTTAATTACAAACCCTAATAATTTCAATTTTTCTCTCATTCTCTTATCTCAGTTTCTCTCTCACCTTTCTCATGATCGTCGGTTGACTCACAGCGAGGATGGCGACGTGGCTGGGGCGAGGAAGGCCAAGCCCTATATCTATTTCTCATTTCTTTTTCATCATTTCCCCCTCTTTCCACCATCTCTCTTCACCACCGTCTCGCTTCAACTGGAAGTAGTGGCTTAGTAGGTGGCAGTTCCACCGATGCCAGTGATTTTAAAAACTTTAGGAACAACAATGTGCTGGAGAAGAATACTAGAACGTCTGATTGTTCAACGCCGCTGTAGTAGCAGCGCTGCGTGAAACTCTGTGCTCCAGTCGTCGTCGCTGCGACGGCGCTGTGCGCCTGCTCTGCACGCTACGACGTCGATGTGGTGTTTCTTTCCTCCAATATGCCTGGTTCAAACAATACCAGTTCATTATAAATCATTTTGGGGATGGTTTTTGTTGGTTGTATTTGTAGTTCTTGGCAGTAGCTGTGGTGGTGTTGAGGTTGATGGCACTCGTGAGGTAGTGGTGGTGGTGGTGGTAGAGTGATCTGATTTGTTGGCGGGTTTGTTGGTGCTGTTGTGGTGGTGGTGACGGTGTCGACGTGGTGAGGGTGGTCGAAAGTGGCCATAGTGGTAGTGGCGGTAGTATGTGACAAAATGTTTTGTAATCCGTGACCAAATGTTTGGTAATTTGTGACCAATTGCTCAACTGTGACCTAAAAATTTAATAATGTGTGACTCAAAAATAATATGTGACCAACTAATTTAAAAATTTGTGGCCTCGAAATAATCTGTGACATACACAATTTTTGTTCTGTGATCTCGAAATAATCAGTGATCAGTTATTTTTAAAATGTGTGACATGTGACCTATAATTATGTATATGTGATCATTAATTATATAACTATGATTTTATTATATTTAATTAATAAATATTTTTAATTAATTAACTAAAACCTGATTTTTGCATTATTCAAACTTAAAACCTGATTTTTGAATTTTGTATAGTTAATTACTTACTTTTGAACTCTTCCCTAATATGATTTACGAATCAGCCCATAATTCAAGTGGACCGGTTAAGGCCGACCTGCTAGTAGTTATTGGCCGATCCCATAGTGGGACCTAGCCATATCGAGTCATTACATGGATGGGTTGGTTCGTGACCCGCCTATTTTGACACCACTGTGTTAAATTGAAGGAAATCGTGTACATTTACATGTTTGGTTATTTTATTTCCTTAATCTCACTTGTTCTTTTTGATACGTCTTCAACACAAAACTTGCTCTATTTTTTTCATCTAAAATCTACTAAAATAGAATTTATTACGCCCTCGTTCGAGCAATTTATTGTGGCAAAATGTATTTTAGAATAATATTTTTAGAAAATATATGATTAAAAAATAATATAAAAGTTTTCAATTTACGAGTAAAATTATTTTATTGGAAAATGTGCGATTGAAAATGAGTTTTAAGAAATGATTTTTTTGATATAACGGGGCTCAAACAAAGATATTAAGGGTCCGTTTGATTGCAAAGGTGAAAAATGGATGGAAAGAAAATATTTTATTGGGAATTGAATTGCCTAGAAAATGTTTTATCGGGAATTGTAATTAATTGTGTTTAATTTGTATAATTTCTCACCTGAAAAATGTTGAAAGTTTGGTATCCGTTTGATTTTATTTTTCATGAAATTTGTCCATTAAAGTGATAATTTTTTTTACCATTGTGTCTAGAATGTTTTCTAATTGCAAAAAAAAAAAAAAAA